TTTAAGAACATTAAGTTTTACAGTTTGAACCACATAAAAACAAGCAAACCTTACAGTGACAATCAAATGTTTAATGTTATTTAATACTATCCAGTATGCATTGTATAAACATAATGCTTTACATTACAATTTTTTTTGTTATATAAACATTAAAAACCTAGCTTCTGAGAAAAACAACAACATAAACACATATAACTCAACATGATTTTTAAGATCACTAATTCAATTTGAAATTAAAACTTGTTTTGGAATTAACTAAGCATTGCAAAATTTAGCATGAACTTTTTAAAGCAGCCTTTTCATAGCCTAAACCACATCAAAATTTTCTGTCGGCATGAGATTTTCCAACTTTCTTGAAGCCACTCAGCTAATTCCTGACCTGATTTCACTTAAATCTAGAAGTAAAATATGAGCGGAGAAGGAGTTTTAGGGTTATTTGTTGTTAGAAGATTGGCCAAAAACATTAACACATTAGAAATGGGTTGTGGGAGGTTTCATGACCTCTTTCTTTACAGAGTTACATTCAGAAGTTAATTCAGCTACATTATTAGCAATGCCCCCCAGTGGCACAGCGGTATGTCTGCTGACTTACAACACTAGAATCCGGGTTTCGATACCCGTGGTGGGCAGAGCACAGATAGCCCTTGTGTAGCTCTGTGCATAATTAAAAACAAAAAACAATTATTAGCAATGTGTGTCAATAAACTTGGCATTAAACATAGTTTATAATTCACTTTTTTATATTATCTATTTTTTACTTTATTCATTTCAAAATGAAATTCTTAAATAAATTCTCATTCTCTAAATTCTCCTTTTTTAAATTTTCTTTCTTCCTTTATATAGATTTCAAAGTGTCAACTAATTACATACACGATCTATATATTTTGAAAGACTACAGTATAAGATAAGAACCTATCACCTTCATTGTTTTCTGAGATATCAATAAATTTACCACACACCACTACAGAAGCTCCTTCCAACTCTTCATACTTTTGAAATCATGTATTTGCTCATGCCTATTTGTCAATGGTACATGTTTATAACAAATGAAAAGGCCATTTTGTGAAATACATGATGCTAACACTAGTCTTTTTGTTTTCTTGGTGAAAGCCAATATACTGATGTGTGAGTAGACTGAAGTCAGTGTTCCAGGAAGTAGTATAATTTTTCTTAACTTATTTATATCTTAGTTAGAACATCAGAAAAATGATAGTAGTTTTGGGACATTCTATTATAGTGTTAGATATATGTTTCATATTCTAAAATGTTTATTTTAAAGCTTCATGAATTATTTCATGGTCAAAGAATATAATTAGAAAACAAAGGCTTATGAAAGCAAATGCCCAAGTGCAAACTGGGCTAGGGCTAAGATAAGTGCTAAATTTATATTTTTTATGTATATTTTTTATTTGTTGTTATATATTTTTAACAAAAGTAACTCGAATGTAAAAATTAAAACTTATTAGGTTATAAAAAGAAACTTAAATAAAAAAAATTAATTAAAAATTTTTTTTCCATGGTCACATCTCGAGGAATGTACATAGTTAGATGTTGCGTGATGTAACCTGAAAAACTGTTTACTCTCAACTTTCCACACTCCTGCTGGGTGATTTATTGCTTGTTATAGTAGTTAGACAGGGTTCAAGGAGCAGTAACACAATAAAATTAAATGAAATCAGTTGTGAAAAGTTAAGAGACGCAAAGCTCTTAATATAAATAATTGTAAGTGTCTGTTATAACTTGCAGTCATTCTAGAAAAAAGTTATTTTTGGTATGATTTAATATTTTTAACTTTCACTACAGATAATTTTCATTCACCAGGTGCTCGCTTGAAGTATAGGATGATTAAGTGGATATTTCATAAAAGAAACATGTGTCACTTTTCCAGATGGAGACACTTTTTTGATTGTTTTGCATACTCTTGCCTGGAACACATTAATGACTTTTGCCACTGACCTTTGTGTTCATGGATTTTCACCTGTTACAAAATTGCACTCCTTTCTTACAACAGCTTGGATACGATTTGGTGCTGGTCTGTTTCTTCATGTTGCCAAATCCCCAAATTGATCCATATCTGTTTGTTTTCAGTGCCATTAAGCACAAGATACTGTATTTCAGAACTAACAGTGACTCAAAGCTGCATTTTATCTTAAAAATTCCCAATCTAAACCAATCTTTATGACCTGAATATGAATATTTTGCATCAGAATGGGCCGTTATATACCTTTCCCAAAACCAATCAATTTTTGATGACATAATAGTATGTACGAAATTCCAAACAATGTCAAGACATAGTTCTGTTACATTCTACCATGACTTTATATCAACTTGCTGATTTGCATACTCAAAATTATTTTATTATAATGTACTCAACAATTTGTAAGTTGTGGAATTTCTCTGTGTATATATGATTTTGAAATGACATACTTAAAAATTAATCATTTTTATAGAAGTAGTGCAATAGATATATTTCTGATATTACTACTAAGTAGAATGAGTTAGCTACAGGGATAACATAGTGTGGCCACTGTTTTTTTACTGTTTTTTTCCATAAGCTTTTCACATTAATGTTTTTCAATCCTGCTGCAGAAAAATGAAATTATATTTAAGAAGAGGTTTATTTCACTTTTTCTCCCTTTGTCGGTCATCCAGTAGGTCAGCAGTAAATTTCTGGAATTATAATGCTAAAATCCAGGGTTTGATTTTCCATGTTAGATGGAGTGCAGATAACCCATTATGTAGCTTTGTGCAGTCACTAATATATTCTATGATGATATATGTACTTCATTCTACATGCTTTAGCATGTTTTCATTTCCTATACTTCAATGTTATCTCTATGTTTCCACTATTTTATTTCCCATTCTTACAACATCTGCTATTTTAGTATCTGTTTATTCTCAGTACTTCATTTCATAGTTTGTCTGTACCAGTATTAATGCATTTCTCTCATACTGTCTTCAGTTTGTATAAACTGCATATTAAAGTATTTTCTCTCCTTTCTCTTCTATTTTAAAACAGTTCCTCTGTACAACTACTTTTCTTACTTTTATTTAAATTCCACACTTCAGCATCTTATTTTTGAAAATTATTTCCCTTTTTATTTTGTGTAGTCCATCTGTAATCAAACATTTCAATTCCTTAATTTCTGTTTATTTTCCATATCATAATTCTACCTATTTCCTTCCCCTTTTTTTATGCCTGATATTTCATTATTATGACTCTCCTTTTTGGGTTCCATATTTCAGCATTTTTTCTATGTTTAAAATGACTTATATGCCGTATGTACGTTCTGCTTTTCGCTTTTTGGAATTCCACTTTTAAATACTGTCACTTTCTTTCTTTTTGAACTGTTTCAGCAATCACAATGATCATGAAAATTATATATCAGATGTGGATATGATTATAGTGGTGTGGTAAACTGATTTCCATGCAAATATTAGATATCTTTGTTTAATAATGGGAGAACTGATCAGGAAATTTGTAATCTGAATTTAACTAAACAACTCAGTTTAAGTTTTGTGAGAAAAAATAGACTCGACAGATGTTGTAAAGTAGAAACAGTCTTGTTATGTATTACAACTTATTATGTTGTGTATTACAATTTATTCCGGATGAGTCTCCAATTTATTATGTAACGTATTATAATTTTGAATAGCCCAAGACTGAGTTAAATTGTAATTTTGATTTAGAACTTCAATAAATGCCGATATGTATCCAATTTATGATATTTGCCAACAAGATTGATACACATAGTTTTCTTTTTTAATACAAATATGTTTTAATATACAAACAATAATACAATTTACAATAACAGTTATTACAAATAATGTACAAAAGATTTACAAACTTACAAACAGTATCAAGTCTTCTTTCTGGCCTGGAACTTCCTTGATTTCTTATCGAGGGTTTGTGACAAGTGAATTAATTTTGAGTTCATGTAGATGCAATTCACTTAACATGGAGCTACCTAGCTCTATATTCTTCTTTCTGTGCCGGCCACACACGAGTTGTTCACCGATAAAGTTAGGTAATGTTTTTGTAAAAATATTAATGTCTGATGTGAATCCACTAAAGTTAAATGATTTGTAATGTTTGAAATTTATAAACATTCCTGGTCAAATATCTGAAGTTCCTGATTACTAAGCATTAATCACAGTTATAGCTTGTGATGTTTATAGTGTACCATCTGTAGCAAACCAATAGTATATACTATCTTTTGGCATGGTGCGTTGGTTATGTTTATAGGCGTGAGGAGATTTTCTTGAAATTTCAGCTTACGAAACAATACTGATGATACACTAGTGTTTATGTACACACATGTATTGTTGATTCTTACACTCGAGAATCTTCTACAACCTTAATGAATAGGTGGGAATTTTGACATACAGATTTAACAGTATAAGTTAAATATAAATTTAACTTAAACAAACATCGATATTAAAATAGATATATAATAGTAAATTTGTCAGTCTTTATTCATGAAACAACAACAAGAATAAAAAAAAACAATGTGGGTACTTGTGTAGACAAAAGGATGATTGCTTCTACTAGATTAGTGAATGGATTGGCAACTTTCTTTTTCTCATGATAGATCTCTGTCATACTAAACTCTTTTGAAAACCAGATAGAACTGTTAAGAACTAAGACTACTAACTGAAACAGATAATCTCAGTCCTATTCAGTACAATGAGCATCACCACATGACTGGTCCTTCTCTTGCAGTATTCATAAGTTATAACATAAAGACATCATCCACTTGGGTAGCGAAGGACATTGCTGTTGTTGACCCCTTTCTATACTATTGTGTGAAATTGCAGCAGCATCCCATAGGCAAAGTCAATTCAAATCTTAACATAAATAAGGTGTCTTTTATACTAAATCTGTATAAATATAGTGTTAGATTTATATTTGTTAACTATGAGAATCACAAATCTTTTCAACTACTATGATTTTGTTAACCAATATCTTTAGGATTATCAAATGAGAAATCAAATCTTGGAAACTATGTTCAGCCCAGTATACTTGGACAAACATCAAATATTTATTTTCAAAATGCATGTTAAGGAACCTGAAGGTAAGAGAATTAAGCACTATATTATATTTAAAGAGAATCTGATAAAATATTTGTTTGTTTTTGTTGTCGCTTTCTATTTTCCAAACAGAAATCACAAATGTGAATTTACATGTTCATCATATGTATATATGGAATCTAGCTTGTTTGCTGATTATTATTATGAATTTGATTTAGAAAAATAAAGATTGAGAACTTATTCATCTTTAATCAATCTCAATATTTCTGAAGTTGTAGTTGTAATCATAAGCGTATGAGGTGGGGGTAGCCCCCCATAGCTTGCAATACATACAAACATTTGGGCAAATTTTCAATTTCCATTCAAGCAAAATTAGAAGCAGAAAATATGTTGATTTGGGCAATTTTTACCTATGTTCAGGAAAAACTGGTAGCTGAAGTTTCTTGCTGATAACCTCATTCGGGCAAAATTTGACAGCCCCCCCCCCCCACACCACACACACACACACTCTCTCTCTCTCTCTCTGAAAATCCCAGGTACACCTATGACAGTAATGAAAAGAAAGTTATATGTCACCTTAATGAATGTCACCTTCAAAGTTTATCTGGGTTTTGATTAAAATAAGAATTTTTTTAAAAAATAGTTCTAGTCAAATTTCGAATTATAAATAAATTTGATGCCACATAAGAAAACTATGTATGACTGTCAAATTATACTGCTGTTGATGATTGCCTGCATTTATTTTTGTTTACATTTATTATTCATTCAAATAAAGCTCTCAAGTTTAGATAAATATATAATGAGAAACACAATGAAATAGTTTGTTATCCAACAAATACACAACTTGTATTTTCTTACAGATTCTTTGCATTCACCCAACATAAAAAAATCAAAATATTAAGTAAAATCTAGTACCTAGTTTAAATTTTGACATATTAACTGAAGTTTTAATTGTTCTAAACGAATATTTCAAATATTTCTACTTTACATTTGTATTGATATTTACACCATAGTATATGCTAAGACATAACATATGCACAACAAAGGACCCTTTAGTCCCTCAAGGCTGTTCCTGGACACTCACTTTTGAAAACAAGTAAAACCTTAGATTCCTCCTCCTTTAGTTTTGGGAAATCATCTGTTGCCCTCTTAAATTCTTGTAACATGCCAGCCTTCATTATTACTGACACCACTAATTACATAAGCTAATCACCCTGTTAGAAAAAACTGGAATGTAGCTTATCTTTTCCAAATCTTAAACTTGTGTTCTCTTGATCAACTCTTTTCAGAATACATCACAAAGAAATCAAAGGCCTTTATCATATACATTCTCTAGATAATCTGTAAATTTCAATAAGATCACATCTTACCCTTCTTTTCTCAAGAGTAGATAAGTTAAGAGATTTTAAACTATTTCCATGGGATAATCTATCTATCCTTGGAATTATGCCTTCCTCAGAACTCTTTCCAACAAATCAATTTGACAAAATGTTTTTTGAAGTATTACCACCTAAAAATATATTAATTTCAAAAATTACAAAATTATATATATTCTGAGGTTCTACCATCTGTATTGCTGATCTGGTATTGACTGTATGAATTTCAGCACTTCCAGTCTGTATCAGTAATTTTATATTTTCAGTGGCTACAGTCACAACATGTAATTCTTTTACCATACTAAAAACTTAATATAGTGTGTTCATATATTTAATTGGGGTTTTCAGATTATGATGTTAGACTGATGCTAAAACAAGTTTCTTGCCACTGTGTAAAAAATACTACTTAACAAATTTACCATAAAATAGACAGATAATTCAAGAGCAGATATCTATCAAGTGAAATGCAATCATTTTCTCCAATAATAGTTTCATAGAATTTTCATGATACAAATATATCACACATAGTGCTTTCTAATTGGCATAATGGTGCCAATTATTGTTGCATTTTTGTAATTTTAAGTCATTATATTCAATATGTATTATCCTCATATCCTGGTTATAACTTTAAATATATAAAGGCCTCTCAGTGGCTCAGTGATAACTCTGCAAACTTACAAAGCTAGCAATTGGGGTTTGATACTTGTGGTGGGCAGATAACCCAGTGTGTAGCTTTGTGTTTAATAACAACCAAAAATAATATATAGAAGGAAGTATTATTTTTGGAGCTTAATTCTCATCCTGGGGTTTTTATCCATTTTCTTGTAAAAATGCAGTCATTTTAGTTCCATCTTTTATGCTTTCAATCAGGTATTTAGAAATGATCTGTATAATACATATCACAGAGGTCTAATATGCTGTTTCAAATAAGACTATATCTCTTGACATTTCTTCAGTTTGTGCTGTGACTTCAAGTATAAATGATGTTATTGATTATATTACCATTCAGGTATGAATGCTTTTAATTTACTCATCCAGAGATTTTGATTACTTTTCCTTTCCCTGAACAATTTGTCATTTATAGATGAGTTTAATGACTAATTCTTAATAATTTTTTCTAAGCTCTTCAGATCTGCAACCATTGAGACTAGTGTGTTTTTTTTTGCAGACTGTGGAATGCTAAATCTTACAATAAACTAGTAGTCCAAAACTGTAGCAATGATTATATACACATATGTATACACACACACACACACACACACACACATATATATATATATATATATATATTTACTCTCCTGGTCTAAATGTCATTAGTGCAGAGTCCAATAATATCCACTAGCTTGACCATTTATAGTATTCTGACCCTATCAGTCACTAACAGAAGCCTCTTCTCATCTTTTATCTTTGTGGTTTAAACCACACATTGTTTGCATAATATCATCAACATTATTAAACATTATTGCCATAAACTCCAGGAAAAATATATAAGTTTTCTAAAATCTAGCATTTTGATTTACATTTCTCAAGGGCTAAGCATCTAGTTGACATACAAAGTAGTGAATATTTGAACTCTGCACTATAGAAAAAAACAAACACCAAACAACATTACAAAAACACACATAGCATGATGATACATGATTCTGCAATGTTGAGAGGAGAATTAAAAAGCACAGGGCAAGAAATGGGACTTGTTATAAGGATTTTTATGCCACACATACAATGATAATGGTGGTCGTTGATTTCAGTATTTGTAATATTAGACTGATTCAATGATCATGCAAATAGAGCATAATTATGGAGAAAAATTTGCTGTCTTTCTTTTAATTTTATTATATTTTCTTTGAGATTTGATATGACCCACCTTTTACATATGTAAGTATATATAGATATATTGGAATGTAGCATAGCACAATTAAGAAACATTGTAAATACCAAGTGTACAGTCTAATTTAAACAATACCAAATAAAATACATATAAGTGCAAATGAGTACAATATTTAAATTTCAAGACAAAATATAATTGAATTAAGAATAAACATTTACTTGACATGACCATGCATTTCTTGTTTCAATGTTTTAACAGGATTATTTTTTTTGGCAATAAGTAAGAAAGCTTCATTATATTTTGTTTTCAAAAAGCAGGCCTATTGTTAAGAGGGAAGTTTAGGAAAACTAAGAGATTTTACAAAATTCTCAGATGTAACTTCATTCTGTCGATGTTTTTTATGTCAGCAATATGTTAATAAAATCTTCATGTATTGGTGTCAGGGTTTTATGTATGTGTGTGGGATAAGGATTCTTCTACAGCACACAATCCACTTGTTTAAAATAATATATTCAAAACAATTTAAATGTATGTACAAAAATTCTTCACATTATGGATATCACAGTTGTATCTCAAACTCCATATAGTTCTTTCTTGTCAAAAGTCCACTTAGGCTGATTCAATTACTTTAGAATCCAATTGACAAGACAAACTATTTTTCTTTACTTTTATCACTATAGTATTAGTAAATAATTCATTTATGCTACAGTTGTATCCTGAACTTTAAATAATTGTCTTATTTTCATCAAAGTCCACACAGATGCATTAAATTACTTTAGAACACCCTTTGACAAGACAAATTATTCTCCTTATCTCTATTAAACTGTGAAATTCACTATAAAATATCACCTGTTAAAGCTAATCACTCACATGCCAGCTAACTTCACATTTTCTGACTGAACTTTGCTTTTTTAGTTCTCTCTTGTTATGAAAATTAAATATTCATGAAATATTAATTCACAAAATAAATTAGATAATAATGCCTACACTAAACAGTCTTGTATATCCAACAACTGGGTGACTTGTTTCACCAGTGTATGCTGCAATGGGCCACTTTATTTCATACACAACATTCTTGATAACAACGTAAATAATCTAGACTGTTTATGAGTAAAATTGACTGGAAGTTGTTTTAATTGTTTTCTTTGTCCATAAGTGATTCAAGATTCAAATTTTAAAGCCTGATTTTTTTTAAACACATTGTAATGATGAACAACGATATTTTCATTAGTGTTCAATATAATCCCTATTTTGATTGATAGTATGGTTTGCATAATCTTTATTAGAATTGTTCTTTTTTTTTGGAAATAATATTTAGTTTAAACATTCTAGAATATAAATTTTTTGAAGTTCTGTTTTGCAGAAGATTTTTACCCTTCCTTCACTAGGAGGAAAAAAACTTTACTCAGGTATAGCCAGTTAAATTTTTCCAAGTTTTCATCGAGGTCTTCTTCATCTTTTGAAAAGGTCATAAACATGCCTTATCCTCTACTTTAAACAAATTTACATATTATAATCCCCTCTCTTTAATGCTTATACTAGCTGGACCTATTTTTGTATCATGACATCCCAATTTGTACAAATTGGAGGTTTATCTTCCTTGAATTTTTATAATAGAAATTATTGTTGATATAGGTAATCTTTGATTGTAGGATATTGAATTAAAAACTCACTCACGCTCATGTCTTCATCTTATATGTTAGTGCTTTCTCCAGCTTCCACAACCAAAAGTCTCGTAACACATAACTCCACCAGTTTAATTAATGACACTTGCAGTCAAGTGTTTGTCTTACAAATAATGACTTTGTTTGTGCATACATTTGTGTTGTTTACTTCTTTT